ATCCCCTGCTGATTTTGTACGTTTGCCCACTGACAAAGAAATGATCAGTCTATAATTTTAACTCTTAAAGGGAGTGCTCCTAATCTCAGCTTGTTACCTGTATAAAAGACACCTGTCCACAGAAGCAATCAATCAATCAGATTCCAAACTCTCCACCATGGCCAAGACCAACAAGCTCTCCAAGGATGTCAGGGACAAGATTGTAGACCTACACAAGGCTGGAATGGGCTACAAGACCATCGCCAAGTAGCTTGGTGAGAAGGTGACAACAGTTGGTGCGATTATTCGCAAATGGAAGAAACACAAAAGAACTGTCAATCTCCCTCGGCCTGGGGCTCCATGCAAGATCTCACCTCGTGGAGTTGCAATGATCATGAGAACGGTGAGGAATCAGCCCAGAACTACACAGGAGGATCTTGTCAATGATCTCAAGGCAGCTGGGACCATAGTCACCAAGAAAACAATTGGTAACACACTACGCCGTGAAGAACTGCAATCCTGCACCGCCCGCAAGGTCCCCCTGCTCAAGAAAGCACATATACAGGCCCGTCTGAAGTTTGGCAATGAACATCTGAATGATTCAGAGGAGAACTGGGTGAAAGTGTTGTGGTCAGATGAGACCAAAATCGAGCTCTTTGGCATCAACTCAACTCGCCGTGTTTGGAGGAGGAGGAATGCTGCCTATGACCCCAAGAACACCATCCCCACCGTCAAACATGGAGGTGGAAACATTATGCTTTGGGGGTGTTTTTCTGCTAAGGGGACAGGACAACTTCACCGCATCAAAGGGACGATGGACGGTGCCATGTACCGTCAAATCTTGGGTGAGAACCTCCTTCCCTCAGCCAGGGCATTGAAAATGGGTCGTGGATGGGTATTCCAGCATGACAATGACCCAAAACACACGGCCAAGGCAACAAAGGAGTGGCTCAAGAAGAAGCACATTAAGGTCCTGGAGTGGCCTAGCCAGTCTCCAGACCTTAATCCCATAGAAAATCTGTGGAGGGAGCTGAAGGTTTGAGTTGCCAAACGTCAGCCTCGAAACCTTAATGACTTGGAGAAGATCTGCAAAGAGGAGTGGGACAAAATCCCTCCTGAGATGTGTGCAAACCTGGTGGCCAACTACAAGAAACGTCTGACCTCTGTGATTGCCAACAAGGGTTTTGCCACCAAGTACTAAGTCATGTTTTGCAGAGGGGTCAAATACTTATTTCCCTCATTAAAATGCAAATCAATTCATAACATTTTTGACATGCGTTTTTCTGGATTTTGTTGTTGTTATTCTGTCTCTCACTGTTCAAATAAACCTACCATTAAAATTATAGACTGATCATGTCTTTGTCAGTGGGCAAACGTAGAAAATCAGCAGGGGATCAAATACTTTTTTCCCTCACTGTATATACAAAAGTATGTGGACACCCCTTCAAAATTAGTGGATTTGGCTATTTCAGCCACACCAGTTGCTGACAGGTGTATAAAATCACGCCATGCATTCTCCATAGACAAACATTGGCAGTAGAATGGCCTTACTGAAGAGCTCAGTGACTTTCAAGTGGCACCGTCATAGGATGCCACCTTTCCAACAAGTCAGTTCATAAAATTTCTGCCCTGCTAGAGCTGCCCCGGTCAACTGTAAGTGCTGTTATTGTGAAGTGGAAACGTCTAGGAGCAACAATGGCACAGCAGCGAAGTGGTAGGCCACACAAGGTCACAGAACGGGACCGGCGAGTTCTGAAGCACGTAGTGCGTAAAAATAATCTGTCCTCGGTTGCAACACTCACTACAGAGTCCCAAACTGCCTCTGGAAGCAACGTCAGCACAATAACTGTTTGTCGGAAGCTTCATGAAATGGGTTTCCATGGCCAAGCAGCCGCACACAAGCCTAAGATCACCATGTGCAATGCCAAGCGTCAGCTGGAGTGGCGTAAAGCTCGCCGCCATTGGACTGGAGCAGTGGAAATGCGTTCTCTGGAGAGATGAATCATGCTTCACCATATGGCAGACTGACGGACGTATCTACAGTTGAAGCCGGAAGTTTACATACATTTAGGTTGGAGTCATTAAAACTCGTTTTTCAACCACTCCACTAATTTCTTGTTAACAAATTATAGTTTTGACAAGTCGGTTAGGACATCTACTTTGTGCATGACACAAGTAATTTTTCCTACAATTGTTTACAGACAGATTATTTCACTTATAATTCACTGTATCACAATTCCAGTGGGTCAGAAGTTTACATACACTAAGTTGACTGTGCCTTTAAACAGCTTGGACAATTCCAGAAAATGATGTCATGGCTTTAGAAGCTTCTGATAGGCTAATTGACATCATCTGAGTCAATTAGATGTGTACTTGTGGATGTATTTCAAGGCCTACCTTCAAACTCATTGCCTCTTTGCTTGACATCATGGGAAAATCAAAAGAAATCAGCCAAGACCTCAGAAAAACAATTGTAGACCTCCACAAGTTTGGTTCATCCTTGGGAGCAATTTCTAAACGCCTGAAGGTACCACGTTCATCTGTACAAACAATAGTACGCAAGTATAAACACCATGGGACCACGCAGCCGTCATCCCGCTCAGGAAGGTGACTCATCCTGTCTCCTAGAGATCAACGTACTTTGGTGCGAGAAGTGCAAATCAATCCCAGAACAGCAGCAAAGGACCTTGTGAAGATGATGGAGGAAACAGGTACAAAAGTATCTACATCCACAGTAAAACGACTCCTATATTCAACATGACCTGAAAGGCCGCTCAGCAAGGAAGAAGCCACTGCTCCAAAACCGCCATAAAATAGCCAGACTACGGTTTGCAACTGCACATGGGGACAAAGATCGTACTTTTTGGAGAAATGTCCTCTGGTCTGATTAAACAAAAATATAACTGTTTGGCCATAATGACCATCATTATGTTTGGAGGAAAAAGGGGGTAGCTTACAAGCCGAAGAACGCCATCCCAACCGTGAATCACGGGGGTGGCAGCATCATACTGTGGGGGTGCTTTGCTGCAGGAGGGACTGGTGCACTTCACAAAATAGATGGCATCATGAGGAAGGACAATTATGTGGATATATTGAAGCAACATCTCAAGACAGATCAGTCAGGAAGTTAAAGCTTGGTCGCAAATGGGTCTTCCAAATGGACAATGACCCCAAGCATACTTCCAAAGTTGTGGCAAAGGACAACAAAGTCAAGGTATTGGAGTGGCCATCACAAAGCCCTGACCTCAATCCTATAGAATATTTGTGGACAGAACCGAAAAGGTGTGTGCGAGAAAGGAGGTCTACAAACCTGACTCAGTTACACCAGCTCTGTCAGGAGGAATGGACCAAAATTCACCCAACTTATTGTGGGAAGCTTGTGGAAGGCTACCCGAAATGTTTGACCCAAGTTAAACAATTTAAAGGCAATGCTTCCAAATACTAATTGAGTGTACTTCTGACCCACTGGGAATGTGATGAAATAAATAAAAGCTGAAATAAATAATTCTCTCTACTATTATTCTGACATTTCACATTCTTAAAATAAAGTGGTGATCCTAACTGAAGGGAATTTTTACTAGGATTAAATGTCAGGAATTGTGAAAAACTGAGTTTAAATGTATTTGGCTAAGGTGTATGTAAACTTCCGACTTCAACTGTACGTTCGGCGGATGCCAGGAGAACGCTACCTGCCCCAATGCATAGTGCCAACTGTAAAGTTTGGTGGAGGAGGAATAATGGTCTGGGGCTGTTTTTCATGGTTCTGTCTAGGCCCCTTAGTTCCATTGAAGGGATATCTTAACGCTACAGCATACAATGACATTTTAGACGATTCTGTGCTTCCAACTTTGTGGCAACAGTTTGGGGAAGGCCCTTTCCTGTTTTAGCATGACACTGCCCCCATGCACAAAGCGAGGTCCATACAGAAATGGTTTGTCCAGATCGATGTGTAAGAACTTGACTGGCCTGCACAGAGCCCTGACCTCAACCCCATTGAACACCTTTGGGATGAATTGAGCCAGGCCTAATCGCCAAACATCAGTGCCCGACCTCACTGAAGCTCTTGTGGCTAAAAGGAAGCAAGTCCCCGCAGCAATGTTCCAACATCTAGTGGAAAGCCTTCCCAGAAGAGTAGAGGCTATTATAGCAGCAAAGGGGGGACCAACTCCATATTAATGCCCATGATTTTGAAATGAGATGTTCGACGACCAGGTGTCCACATACTTTTGGTCATGTGGTGTAGCGGTTGCTGCTAATATACTTGAATACCAATAACATTAGCAGGGCTTCTCTGCTAGGTTTTCCTACAATATCTATCTCTGTCTATCCACTGCCTGCATGCATTGTGCCATCACACAACGTCTATCTTCATTCATTAACTCCACATATGCTTCTACTCGAGAAATGAGTTCCCACTGAGCTTTAAACACATAGCCCTGAGGACAAACTGTTTATGTCTCGTATTGACAATGAGTCTGAAGGTAGGATCAGTTTTATATCCTTATATAGCAGGGTTTCCCAAACTCGGTCCTCGGGACCCCAAGGAGGGCACGCTGTTGAGTTTTTAAAATGATATTCTTTGTACTTTTACCGCGGTATCCAATTGGTAGTTACAGTCTTTTCCCATCGCTGCAACTCCTCTACAGAGGTGAAGGTCGAGAGCCACGCGTCCTCCGAAACACGACCCTGCCAAGCCGCACTGCTCGCTTAACCCGGAAGCCAGCCGCACCAAAGTGTCAGAGGAAACACCGTCCAGCTGGCAACCGAAGTCGGCTTGCAGGCGCCCGGCATAAGGAGTCGCTAGAGCGCGATGGGACAAGGAAATCCGGGCCAGCCAAACCCTACCCTAACCCGGACGACGCTGGGCCAATTGTGCGCCGCCTCATGGGTCTCCCGGTCACGGCCTGGGATCGAACCCGGGTCTGTAGTGACGCCTCAATGCAGTGCCTTAGACCGCTGCAATGCAGTGCCTTAGACCGCTGCGCCACTCGGGAGGCCTGACCTTTTGGTTTTTGCCCTAGCACTACACAGCTGATTGAAATAAGCTTTGATCATTTGAATCAGCAGTGTAGTGTTAGGGCAAAAAAACAAAACGTGCACCCCTTGGGGTCCCGAGGACCGAGTCTGGGAAACGCTGGTCTATAGATTATAATAAGTAGGATCATATGGACGGGGCAGAGGACCTGGGGCTGTATGTATAAAGCATCTAGGATCAGATTCCACCTGTCCATATACTCTAATTCATTATCTAAAAGGCAACACTGACCCTAAATCAGCATTATTATTTTTTTCAATACAGACAGGCCCTGGTTGTGAGAATGATTGATCATACACTTTCCCTTTAAGATCATAATGAATAGGATTATATGGACAGGAACTAGATCAGCACACCTACTCTCTTACGAGCATGACTGATCACACACACACTGACAGCCTGTAGACATGGTGTGATGTCATTATCTATGGTGGAGATGATTAGGAGGAAAGGTCCAATGATACAGCACCAGTCTGCTCTATTGACAGATGGGCTAAAGTACACACACACACACAGAGCAATGTTTTACTATACTTGTGAAGACTTTCTGTGGGCCAATAATTGATTCCCATTCAAAATCTTATTTTCCCTAACCCCTAAACCTAACCCTTAACCATAACCTCCAACCATAAGCCTAACCCCAATTCTAACCCTAAACCTAAAATAGCCTTTTTACAAGTGAGGACTGGCAAAATATCCTCACTTCTCTGAATTTTAGTTGGTTTACTATTCTTGTGTGGACTTCTGGTACTCACAAGTATTGTAAAACGTGTACACATACACACACACACACACACACAGTCAATTACAAAGACTCAAGAATAGATAAGTGCGTGCGCGCGCCTTTGTCCAGAGTGCCTGCATGTGTGCGTGCATGCCAGCGTTTTGGGGCACCATTTGCTACTGATTAAGAGCTTAAACTATTGTGAAGACTCCTATGTGTCAAATAAAAATAGAAACGTTATAAAACTAAAGGTAGGATATTCTAGTTATACATAATTAGGTTACCAACCAAGTTGCAGATACCATTTGCCATGGAGCATCGCCTAAGTGCGTGACATATTGTAGCCATATTGTAGACTTGTGTGTCAAATAAAAAGCTCAGTTGGTAGAGTATGGCGATTCCCACGGGGGGCCAGTATGAATTTTTTAAAATAATGTATGCACTCACTAACTGTAAGTCGCTCTGGATAAGAGCGTCTGCTAAATGATAAAAATGTAGGGTAGGTAATTCGTTTAGGCTACTAACCGGCTATGTCCCACAGCTGCAGACGCACCACGGTCTTGTGATCCCAATTGAGGACTTTGAGAGCGAAGTCTACCCCTATGGTGGCTCGGTAATGTTGAGAGAATATCTTGTGGACATAACGCTTGATTATGGACGTCTTGCCAACACCCAAGTCCCCGATGACCAGGACCTTGAACAAGCGTTCCTGCTGCATGGTTCCGTTACGGGTTGGTAGAAAAAAAAAGAAAGGCTAGTTACACCACGTAGGTGTCCACATAGAAAAAAATGAAATGGATAATGACATGCAGAAAAGATATTACAAAAGTCAGTGTCTCTTTTTTCAGTTGTTCTTATTCCATATGGGTTCACTTTTCGCAGCTCTCTTTTCCCGTTACCTGAAGATGTCTGTATGACAAATAAAGCAATCCTCCACAAGATAGAATTAATTGATAAAGAGAATTTAACAAAATTCACATCCTGTCTCACTTATTTTAAATGTGCATTCTCAAAAATATTCCAGAAGTATTTTTTTATTTTCTCAGTTTTTCTATTTCCATACAAGTCCAATGAATCCACGGACGACTGTGCGTATTGGTGACGGCTCACCTGTTACCCAACCTTCATTCCATCTAGCGCAAAAAGGAGAACTTCACAAAAGTGCTGTCAGCGAAAAGTCATCAGCTAACTGTCAAATTAGGTCAAACAGCCTGCGGTCTGTGTGCGTGCTCAACTTTTCCAGAAGCCGTTGCCGTTCCTCTGCGCATGAAGCTTCTTCTGACCGTCAGCTGTTTGGCGACCACACCCCTTTAACATATCAAATAAAGGCTAGCTACATCACATAGTTGTCAACATACAAAAATGATATGGAAAGTTACAAGCAGAAACAAATAGTCGAAGTCAGTGTCTCTCTTTTTTTAGTTTTTTATTTTTATTCCAGCAGCTCCCATTACCTGAAGTTGTCTGTCTGCCAAATAAGGTAATTCTCCACATCTTCTAGCCTAAACTAGCACATTAATTGATAGAGAGAAAGAAATTCACATCTCGTCTCACTTATTACAAATATGCATTCTCAAAAATATTCCAGTTTATTTCTTTTTTCTATTTCCATACAAATCCAATTAATCCACGCACGACTGTTCGTATTGGTGACGGCTCACCTGTTACCCAACTTTCATTCCTATGCAGTTCTAAAAATGTAAGTTCTAAAAAGTGCTGTCAGCTTAAAGACATCAATTGTCAAATTAGGTCAAACAGCCTGCGGTCTGTGTGCGCGCGCGCTCTCATGTGTTCTAGAAGCCGTTGCCATTCCTCTGAGCGTGAAGCTTCTTCTGCCCGCCGTCAGCTGTTTGGCGACCACACCCCTTTAACGGATAAAGTTGTGTAGGCCTACACAAGCCTGGTCTTTCTACGCCTGCTACGTTAGGTTAACAATTTAACACAAGCCAAACGTTCACTGTACTGTCTGTCCATCGCTCTGCCGCAACATAGCGCAGCAGGGGAAAACAACATTTTCTACGTATACCAGTGTATGTCAGTATACACTGTATCTGGACCAGCGCACTGTCAAGAATCCGTTGGTTACCGACATGTCCCCCTTTACACGCATACATATTGTCAATTTTACACGCACGATTATAAACCGTTTTATCAATTGAACCAGCTCCAATATATGTTTTATATCAGCGGGTCTGTCTTGTAGGCAGTATGTATGGAATAAACAGTTTCGTTAGTAAGGATTAGTGCGCTTTCACCCACCAGAACTGGTTGCCATACAACAGGTAAAACGATTGATATGCTACAAAAACAAACAAAAAACTACATTTAAATAAGATTTTTTATAATGGTGTTATAACAAGAGTTGATATATAGGCCTAGGCTTATAGAGTTTTCTATGCTATTTGTGTCGCTGTGGGTTTTTGTAGAGATGCGGAGAAAAGTGTTATGCGCCTCTATATTGATGTTTACGGTAGTAGTGGTGCTGATGCGGGCGGGGAAGTGGAATGAGTCAGGTTATGTGATGCTGCTGCCATTTAATCAACAGCAACATTGATTTCATAACATTTAGCGGCCTTCAAAAACAGTAAACGAAAAAGGAAGAGGAGTGAAAAGAAAACTAACCCTCCGAATTTATCACATTCGAAACGAGTGTGGTTGTAGACAATAGTGTAGACTTTCCGTTCACAAATAATAACCTTTTGTGGAGTAAAGCGTGCTGTGGATTTTTCTCCTAGACCAAGGCCGTTTTAGCCAGTTGTTATCGTTATAGACCGTTATAAAGACATCACATCGAAGACCCGTCGTTGGATCTCTGCAGGGAATTGTAAACTGTGGTTTATGTGTTGCTGTAAGACTTTCTTTCGGCGTTTGTTCTACGAAAGAGGCGGCGAGCTTCTCGATACGATGGAACCTGCAGCATTCGGGTTCTGAACGCCGCAACCAAACCACGTAAGATGAAACCATTCCATGTTCTCGTAGGCTATAGGCCTTTCTCGTAGTTGTGACCCTATAAAATACATTTTTATTTCAGGATAGTGATGAGAGAAATAAGAAAAGGCTTTGAATAAAGTGGATGAAGTTACACTGCTTGGTCTTGGAAGCCTATTATGAGAGTGACAGATGGGATGTTGTGGTAAAGGACTTAAGTTCTGCATCAAATGATCGTGTAGATTCTATTCTAGCCTACTGTTCTGGATTCGATTCCCCATTCGCCTACTGACAGATCAGGTTGAATTATCCCTATAATAATCAAATAATCAAAATGGAGGGGCCCATTCATTGACCTTGGTAGGTCTGGAAAAAAAAACATTTGACATGAATCCAAAAGCACCTTATGTGAAATATAATTTTAGTCATTCAGCAGACGCTCTTATCCAGAGCGACATACAGTAGTGAGTGCATACATTTTCATACTGGTCCCCCTGTGGGAATTGAACCCACAACCCTGGCATTGGAAGTGCCATGCTCTACCAAGTGAGCCATATCCACGGTATGTTCTACAATAGACACCGTTTTGTCCTGTACAGGGGTCAGTAATAGCTTACAGCCTACTGTCCATGTCAACGCTCCAGAGATCCTAGCTAAAGCCTATATCCGGTCTGAGTCAACAGCTATGGGGGTGGGTATTATGGGTATTCTCTAGGGGGATCTATGTGTCCGCGGTAGGCCGAGTGTTTGCATATCGAGCAGACTGTGTAATCCCCGGCCAGGCAGAGGCGCTGGGCCTTAGTTGGCACTAGAGGCAGTCTGATGGCTGGATAACCAGGCCTGTGCATAGAATGCAATACCATAATAAATCCTTGCATTGTAGGGTTTTCAATAAGCATAAGTCTATAGAATATGGAATAGAATAAATTATATAATAAAATATGTAAGCTATATTACCTACGTGTCACTGGCTACAACTAGAATGGAATAACTTCCTTTTTAGAGGGAAATTCAACAGTGCTTTATATTCAGCAATCAAATAAATACATGATAACCTAAAACATAAGACTAATCAAAAAGGTGCCATAGCCAAATCAAGTGACTTGAATGTTGGCCAACATAGGCTAGTAAATCGGATCTCCAATAGTCACATGCTTGTAATTAAACATGTGGATATAATAGGCATTGTAACACCGGTGGCCTAGATCAAATCTATGGTCAAATCGAGAAGAGAAGTGTAGCCTTTTTTTCTCATCACCAAAGGCAGGGCCCCCTAGCATTTTGGGGGCCCCCAAGTGAGCACTGTTGTTATGGGTTTACTGTCTGACTCTGGTTTTGTGCGTGCATTCGCCTGTGTCTCTCGCCATGTGCCCTGATTCCCCAACAACAGACGATAGACAGCAGTCACCATGGAGGCGATATGGCTGTACCAGTTCCGACTCATCGTCATTGGAGACTCGACGGTGGGGAAATCGTGTTTGATCCGGCGGTTCACGGAGGGGCGCTTCGCCCAGGTCAGCGACCCCACGGTCGGCGTAGATTTCTTCTCTCGCCTGGTGGAGATTGAGCCGGGGAAACGCATCAAGCTACAGATCTGGGATACCGCGGGACAGGAGCGTTTCAGGTATGTTGTGTGTGTGGGAGGGGGATCTAAGGATGGTGACAGGTGTTTATAGTCGAATATTAACTGCTTTCGGTAGTGATCTATCATAGCCTACCTTTCAAATGACAGTGTGCTCTGGTGTGTCAATGCAGCTTCTTGTCCAGCAAGACTCAGGGCTCTGAGGTCTACACTGAACTCAGGTTTTGTCATTCCACTACTGATTAGGGTTATTGTCTAGTCAACAGTGCCTTATTATGCAAAGTACAAAGGGTATGCGGTTACAGCCCTACTTCAATATTTACTTTTTGGAACATCAGTGACACATTGAACATGCATGCCTAAACAGGCCTGGTTGACATTTCTAAAACGTGAAAAACAAGTATACAGTGAGGGAAAAAAGTATTTGATCCCCTGCTGATTTTGTACGTTTGCCCACTGACAAAGAAATGATCAGTCTATAATTTTAATGGTAGGTTTATTTGAACAGTGAGAGACAGAATAACAACAAAAATATTGAGAAAAGCGCATGTAAAAAAATATATAATTGATTTGCATTTTAATGAGGGAAATAAGTATTTGACCCCCTCTCAATCAGAAAGATTTCTGGCTCCCAGGTGTCTTTTATACAGGTAACGAGCTGAGATTAGGAGCACACTCTTAAAGGGAGTGCTCCTAATCTCAGTTTGTTACCTGTATAAAAGACACCTGTCCACAGAAGCAATCAATCAATCAGATTCCAAACTCTCCACCATGGCCAAGACCAAAGAGCTCTCCAAGGATGTCAGGGACAAGATTGTAGACCTACACAAGGCTGGAATGGGCTACAAGACCATCGCCAAGTAGCTTGGTGAGAAGGTGACAACAGTTGGTGCGATTATTCGCAAATGGAAGAAACACAAAAGAACTGTCAATCTCCCTTAGCCTGGGGCTCCATGCAAGATCTCACCTCGTGGAGTTGCAATGATCATGAGAACGGTGAGGAATCAGCCCAGAACTACACGGGAGGATCTTGTCAATGATCTCAAGGCAGCTGGGACCATAGTCACCAAGAAAACAATTGGTAACACACTACGCCGTGAAGGACTGAAATCCTGCAAAGCCCGCAAGGTCCCCCTGCTCAAGAAAGCACATATACAGGGCCGTCTGAAGTTTGCCAATGAACATCAGAATGATTCAGAGGAGAACTGGGTGAAAGTGTTGTGGTCAGATGAGACCAAAATCGAGCTCTTTGGCATCAACTCAACTCGCCGTGTTTGGAGGAGGAGGAATGCTGCCTATGACCTCAAGAACACCATCCCCACCGTCAAACATGGAGGTGGAAACATTATGATTTGGGGGTGTTTTTCTGCTAAGGGGAGAGGACAACTTCACCGCATCAAAGGGACGATGGACGGGGGCCATATCAGCCTCTAAACCTTTAATGACTTGGGAGAAGATCTGCAAAGAGGAGAGGGACAAAATCCCTCTAATGATGGTGTGCAAACCTGGCGTGGCCAACTACAAGAACGATGACCTCTGTGATTGCCAACAAGGGTTTTTTCCACCAAGTACTAGTCATGTTTGCGAGGGTCAAATACTTATTCCCTCCTTAAAATGCAAATCACTTTATTACATTTTTGACATGCGTTTTTCTGGATTTTTTTGTTGTTATTCTGTCTCTCACTGTTCAAATAAGCCTACCATTAAAATGATAGACTGATCATGTCTTTGTCAGTGGGCAAACGTAGAAAATCAGCGTTCCATCTGTCTCCATTCCTGCTCTATATTTGTGTCTTCTGATTCATTTCAACTGGTTCTTTATGAATATTTTACCACCCCTCTTCTTCCACTCTTTCATTGCACCTCCCCATCCCTCTCTCCACCCACACCTTGCCTGCCTGTCATATCCCTCCTCTCACTTCCTCTCCCCTTCCTGTCCTCCCTCCCTCTCTCCCTCTCACATTTTCTCTTTCTCTCTTCTGCCAAACTTTTCCTCTCCCTCGCTTGCTACTTGTCTCCTAACACCTCTCTCTTGCGAAAACACACACACTCTTCTTTTAGTTTAGAAGGACGCTATTTTTCACCATGTCTTCGTGGTGAGCGTGATGCAACAGTAACACTCTTGATAAGATCTCAGATGTTTCCTCGATGATGCGGATGCTTCGATCCTCCACTGTGATCTGCCATCTCATCCAGGTTCAGCTTAGTAGCCTATAGTCCATCTCTGTCGAACGTTCCCTCTCTCCTCTCATCTCTCTCTCAGGTCCATCACCAGAGCTTACTATCGTAACTCGGTGGGCGGGCTCCTGCTGTTTGATATCACAAACCGTCGCTCCTTCCAGAACGTTCATGATTGGCTAGAGGAGGCCCGGAGCCACGTCCAACCACACAGCATCGTGTTCCTATTGGTCGGACACAAGTGTGACCTGGAGCCTCAGCGTCAGGTAGCCTATCGGATTGTGTGTCCGTGTGTGTGTGTTTGATTGAGCATTGAAATAAATAAATAAAAAATCCTCACCCTAATTAAGGATATTAGAAATGGCGCCTGAAACACTCTGAAATCAGACAATAAAATCGAATCTTTACCTTTATCGCCAGGTGACTCGTCAGGAGGCTGAGAAACTCGCCGGCGCCTACGGGATGCGTTACGTAGAAACTTCGGCCCGCGACGCCATCAATGTGGAGCACGCCTTCACAGAGCTGACCAGGGACATCTTCCAGCTGGTGAGGAGATAGGATGAAGAAGGTTGAGTCAAGAATCAAAATGGAGTCACATTTTCAATGCTAATCCTGTAGAATCTTAGGCTATTAAAGCAACGGGCTGGTCCCATGAACTGGTACCAAATTGTACAAACCTACGCAGTGTCAAGTGAATCTCAAAGAAACTAAATTGTAATTAATATACAATTATTAGGTTATTGCCATTTTAACAAGTAATTTCAAAGTAAATACCTGATAAATACTAGGGCTGGGAATTGCCAGGGAACTGACGTTACAATAGTATTACAATACTTAGGTGCCGATACATTATGTATTTTTAACAAGAAATTTCAAAGTAAATACCTGATAAATACTAGGGCTGGGATTTGCCAGGGACCTCACGATACAATAGTATTACAATACTTAGGTGCCGATTCATTATGTATTGCTATTCAATACTGCGATTTAATTGCGATGTTGATGTTCCAAACATATTGCTCACCATAGGTCTGCTACAGAGACACGAGAGAGCCATGAGAAAATGAGTTTTGATCAGTCATGGAAATAAAAAGTGATGAAAACATGTTCGCTCACTATTTAAAAAGAAGATGGCGAACAAGCTATAGGATGAAAATTACCTGAGTTTTGGAGCAGGTATAGCCGACTAGCGCTAGCTAATGCTACCTACAGTAGAAATTAAAAATAAATTAATTGATACTTGGAGAATAATAATGCGATACGTAATTATCGATTTTTTCCCCCATCACTACTAAATACTGGTCTGTAAAATACAGGGTTACCTTGGTTAATTTTCGAAAAGCCTCTGCATGTGAATACGACGTTGTCCCTCTTAACCTTGATATCTTGGCTCTAGGTGAGGAGTGGTGACATCACCATCCAGGAGGGCTGGGAAGGGGTGAAGAGCGGCTTCGTCCCCAACGTGGTCCACTCCTCCGAGGAGGTCACCAAGAGCGACCGGCGGTGCCTCTGCTGATCTGGAGGGATCCACTAGAGAGAGATCCCTGACCTGGTTTCCCCTAGGTCCTCCTGGATCCATTTCAGCTCTCTAGTTTAGCCATTTGCCTCTGCTGATCTGCATCTGGATGGAGGGATCCTACCCACAACTACACTACATGGTCAAAAGTATGTGGACACCCCTTCAAATTAGTGGAATCGGCTATTTCAGCCACACCCGTTGATGACAGGTGTATAAAATCGAGCACACCGCCATGCAATCTCCATAAACAAACATTGGCAGTAGAATGGCCCGTACTGAAGAGCTCAGTGACTTTCAACGTGGCATCGTCATAGGATGCCTCCTTTCCAACAAGTCAGTTTGTCAAATTTCTACCCTGCAAGAGCTGCTCCGGTCAACTGTAAGTGCTGTTATTGTGAAGTGGAAACGTCTAGGAGCAACAACGGCTCAGCCGCGAATTGGTTGGCCACACAAGCTCACAGGTTTGTCGAGATCATTGTGGAAGAACTTGACTGGCCTGCACAGAGCCCTGACCTCAACCCCATCAAACACCTTTCGGATGAATTGGAACGCCGAGTGCGAGCCAGGCCTAATCGCCCAACATCAGTGCCTGACCTCACTAATGCTTGTGGCTGAATGGAGGCAAGTCCCTTCCTAGTAGAGTGGAGGCTGTTCTAGTAGCAAAGAGGGGGACCAACTCCATATTAATGCCCATGATTTTGGAATGAGATGTAGGACTAGCAGGTGTCCACATACTTTTGGTCATGTAGTGTAGATCCCTGCCTGGTTTCCCATAGCCCCCCACCTTTCTCATCTAATTTCTCCCATAACACAATTCAAACAACCAGAAAGCATCACACTACGGTTGGGCAAGGTTTGGCCAAAACTACATTCTATTTGACTCAGTTTAAAGGAGACTAAGATGGAGGGGGCTCTCAGTCTCTCCCCTACCCCTAGGGAAACTAAATCTGGTCTCAAACTCTGTGGTTCTCTACCTTTTTCTCCCATCATCCAACTACCACTGTACAATCCTTCTTACCTAATACCATAATGGACTTTATGGACCCTTTGGACTGGACGTAAGGGAACGACTGTTTGACTCTAACAGTACAGGTGGACAAAGTGACTCCAGGGTCGTATTCACTTGACATCGAACGGAGGAAAGTGGACAAAACAGGAAGGGACTACCTAAACCAATAAGAAACTCTTGTTTTTGTTGCAAAAACTGTGTTTTTTTATGGTGTGCACTAATGAATACGGCCCAGTAAAGGTGGACTATAAAGGGGATATTAGGCATCCCTGAGTACCGGTACATTACCTGAACATTTACCTGTCCCTGAGAGGGTCAAACTGACAACAGAGAAGGACTATTTATTTTAGTACGTTTGAACAATGACTCAGAATGACTCTGGAACTTGGCCTCCTAGTGATTCTGGAATCCCCATGGTAACAGTGGAGAGACAGCTAGGAGAACATACTCTTAAAAATACCACATGACCTATAATTCCACACCTGCAGACATCTAAATTACAGTTAACTCCATAGATACAACAAGTATGGCAACAGACATGTGCATTCAATATCTCAATCAGTATAGAAATAAGGACATTCATTCCAAAATGTATCACATTTTGTTATCATGAATGACCATACTTTAGTTGGATGCACTAACACAATGTAACAACCTTTCTGGTTTGGAAAGTGAAAAATGAAATGGTTTGGCACAATAGGAACTCGCTGCGTTGTAACAAATGGTCTCCTACATTTTATTTTCAGTTCAAGTTGTTTTGTAGCCACTGTGTTCAAGGTCAATCTCGTTCTCATCAGGCGCTACAAGCAAATTATTTATATCAAAGAATCATAATCCAAAACTATGATTCCTTCGTCTCTACTCTGAGTGAAGAGATTGAAATAAGATTTTGTTCATAAAGGTTATTAGTTTTGGTTAGGGGAAGCACCATTGCTTTCCTCTGAATGGGTGAGTGTGTACTACTGATTCCCTAGGGCACCTCTTCATCCCCTTGATTTGCATAATAACTGCAAGGATGAACCGCTATCATGGAGCATTATCATATGTCAATGTAACATTTAAGGGCCGGGGGAGCTGGGTTGACTGTGTGCATCTATCAGGTAGGATTACCATTGAGAAGGAAGAGTGGATGGTAAACGTTGTCAATCATTAATCTGGAACCATTTTGCAGAGTCTCGACATGGGATATCCCATTTTGCAGAGTCTCGACGTGGGATATCCCATTTTGCAGAGGAGATATCCCATGAAGCGTGTGACTTTTCACTCCTTTACAACTTGGATCAAGAATGGACTTCTTTGGATTACAGTGTGCTTTTCCCAGTTTTGTGGACATTCTGGTTCTAGAATAGAATCTTTGACATCATGATGTTCCACCCATAGAATTAGAACATTGTAGAATTATATTCAGTGCTCTTAACTGAACAACAGTGGCTTCACCAATCTCCACACACTTAAACTCTCCTCCAACGCTTATACCGTATCAGAGTGGTCTGTCTAGACAGACGGGTTGAGACTAGTATCAGAGGGTTTAAGGAGTTTGGATCAGTTGCTCCTCATCATCTAATAAGACACTGTGTAGGCGTTAGGTCTCAAAACACAGATCTAGGATCAGATTACCATAAACCCCAGGCTAGCCTGTTGCTCATCAACAATATAACACGCAAGTAGATCATCAATGTACAGCATTACCAGGGTCATGTTCATTAGGCATCAAACGGAAGAGAACAGACTGAAACAGAGGGGAACTACCTGAAGATGTCTAATAAGAAAATGTTTTCTTCATTTTCCATTGCAAAACGTTTTGCTACGTTGCGCCCTAATGAATACGACCCAGGATTAAATATTTTATTCTCTCTCTCTAAACTGTACAATACCATGTAACTACTGTTCATTCAATTCAACATCTATGGAACTTTCTGGGCCACTACTATTCTATCAAAACAACTTGAAATGTACTCAAAAATAAATAAAAACAATGTGACCGGTAAAACACCCCCGTTTCGCTCTGTGTCTAACAATGTAGCGCGCCCGTGTGTGGGTAAAACGATGTAGTCTTGGCTTTGTCATAATGGGTTACTCATTGCAGTGCAAGAAACCAACCACTAGATGGCAATACAAGGCAAATACGTGTCATTATCAACAAGCTTGTATTGGTCTTGGGGGGGGGGGGGTCTAGGTCTTAATTAAAAGGAAAAACCAAGAACCAGCATGGAATGAGTTTGACACCCCTGCATTTAGCCAAATGGAGAAAATCATAATTGGCAGATATATAAACTAGGGTATTGAAGGGAATTATCCAAACTGCTAGATCAGGTCAAACTAGGTCAAACTCTCCAAAGCTCCCTATTTTATTCATAGCGGTGAGTCTTGTGCTGCTTTCCTCTTTCATCCTTTTAGGCACATAGGCTTCGGTTCAAATCACATGGGTTGACCCCTCATAGTCAATAGTTCACCCCACAAATACCCAAATCTGTCAGACATAAAACCTCAAAAGTGATGCCAAGCATACCAATCCTTTGTGATTGAGGCCTGTAGATTTATCCTCTTGCATAACAGTCACAACAGATGGTGTGGAATGACAGACGTTAAAACATCAGATAGTCTTTGACATTGGGTGGGGACTATCCTTTTACTGCGTTGGATAGAGATCAGTCTCTGAGCAGTGTAACCATGTGATCTCACATTCACCTCACCATAGGCCAGGGGTAGGCAACCCTGTGATGTTCTAATGGCACGGTAGAATTAACTTGACAATGGAGACTGGAGTACTATTACTTTTGGCTTTATATCTGCAGCGTGGTAAGAATTAACACAGCAAGACCGCTTCATTTACATATCCCCTTGTCTTTCAACCTCAAGAGTGATACTGATTGGCTGTTAAACACAAGGGAGTTATGGACTATCATTAAAAGGTGTTATAGCTCCATATATTACACAACCCTGATCTTGGAGTGCCACAGCTACTGCAGGATTTTGTCCCAACTAGGCACCACAGTGAGGTACTTCGTGAGGTACTTAGCTATTTGATCAGTTCAGTGTCTAAATTCAACACGTAGTCTTCTAGGTATATGCGAGTAAAGTAAGATCATATAATAAAAAATCATGCCAGCTGTGATGAAACAGTTAGTTTCGTTGTAATTTTATAAACCCCAACAGATAATTTGTTTGATTGACATGGGTGGGATCTTTTTGTGTTGGTAAAATGAATTATGTGGTAAATATCCGTGGATATGCCTTTATGTGCAAATATAAATGCAACATGTGAAGTGTTGGTGCCATGTCTCATGAGCTGAAATAAATGATCCCAGAAATGTTCCATAAGCACAAGTTTATTTATCTCAAATTTTTGGCACAAATTTGTATACATCCCTGTTAGTGAGCATTTCTCCTTTGACAAGATAATCCATCCACTTGACCAGTGTGGCATATCAAGAAGCTTATTAAACAGCGTGATCATTACACAGGTGCACCTTGTGCGGGGGACATTAAAAGGCCACTAAAATGTGCAGTTTTTTCTCACAACGCCACAAATGTCTTGAGGGTTTTGAGGGAGCGTGCAATTGGCATGTGACTGGAGGAATGTCCACCAGAGCTGTTGACAGATAATGGAATGTTAATTTCTCTACCATAAGCCGCCTCCAATGTCATTTTAGAGAATTTGACAGTACGTTCAACCAGCCTCACAACCACGTGTAACCATGCCAACCCAGGACCTCCACATCTGTCTTCTTTACCTGCGGGATCGTCTGAGACCAGCCAACCGGACAGCTGATGAAAACTGTGGGTTTGCACAACCGAATAACTTCTGCACAATCTGTCAGAAACCTCAGGGAAGCTCATCTGGGTGCTCATCGTCCTCACCAGGGTCTTGACCTGACTGCAGTTCGGGTTTTTGAAAACCGACTTCAGTGGGCAAATGCTCACCTTCGATGGCCACTGGCACACTGGAGAAGTGTGCTCTTCACGGATGAATCCCGGTTAAGCGTACATGGCATGTGGACAAGCAGTTTTCTGATGTCAACGTTGTGAACAGAGTGCCCCATGGTGGCGGTGGGGTTACGATATGGGCAGGCATAAGCTACAGACAAGGAACACAATTGCATTTTATAGATCCCATTGTCGTGCCATTTATCCACCGCCATC